ACTGGCGACCGGTCGTCCCAGTCGTGCTGTGACGATTTCTTACGCGTTTTCAACAGTGTTTTCAATGGCTATCGCTTTCCACAAGATTTCAGAGGCTTAGTGGGTCACTTCTGAGTTAAATGAATGTTGACTACGTGCTGGATAAGTTGGGAGAGCACTCATGGCTAATTGGTTATCTTATTTCAAAGATATCACTCTCCATTTTCTGGTGTAAGTGGGAGGTGGCTGAGTTGGATTCTATTTACCTATTTGATCTGACATTTAGTCTAAGTGGTGACTAAAGGGAAGAACGTGGAGGACAATCAGATATCCTATCTCTTGTCCATTGGCTTGTGTAGGTAATGGGATGAAGTAAGATAACACAAGGAAGAAAGCATGTTGAACATATGTAGTGGTAAAAGCTGGAAACAAGTATGAGTTTTTCTGTGAGAGCTTTGTTCAGAAAAACCAAGGTGAGAGCAAGAGAGTTCTCTAAGTGTATCAAGGTGTTGAGCAAGGGTGTGAGAGAAACAGATTGTGAGGGTAGTGTTCTAAGGGGGTTTCCTTTGTAAACCAAAGTTGTAACCTATCTTCATTAGTGAAATTTCTCAAGGTGATCACCAAAGAGGATGTAGGCAATTTGCTGAACCTCTATAAACACTTGTGTCATTTGTGCTTGGTTAATTTCGTGTGTGTGTGTAAGACTCATCCATCATTGAGTTCTTTGTCTTAAGTCCATCAACAACAAGATCTTAAAAGGGCAGTGAGTTAGTCTTTAATTCACAACAAGTTTGACCCAACACACCACTCACTTGGTTGCTCAATGAGAAGAACTTAAACCCAAGATCAAGATGAGCAAATGTGTCATCTTTGGTAATGCCATAGTTGTGAATCCTTGAGTCTTCTTCAGTTATGGGCACAACCTTGGCTGTGATCCTAAAGCTCCCTTCAACTTCAACCATCACATTGTTGGTGCCACCCAACCTGGTAAGGGATACAGTTGGAACACTTGTGGATTGCCACCTGGCACCTTCGGATTCGGGAAGGGTGATGGGCTCGCCATCAAAGGAGAAGGCAAGGCGGTCAGTAGAGTCGTCCCACGTGGCGGTCTTTTGGGCACCGAGGAAGAGCTGGTGTTTGCCAGAGAGGATGGCAATGGACTGGACCCAAGTGAAGTCCCTCTTCATGTTGTGGTTGCGCCTGCCGATGAAGTGAGCGTTGATGTGGAGGTTGGGGTCGGATAAGAGACAGAAATCACGGTCTTTCTTGCCGTGGAAGTAAAAGGTGATGTCATTGCCGCCTATGAAACGGGGGTCTTGACACACTGCTCCTGGCTGATCACACTCTGCGCCATTCACCAAAAGAGAAAGAAAAGTATTTTCAGAACTAATATATGAAAATTTATCCTAGTTACTTGCTCATTAGCTTATTTGAAAGTTTTGAGACCACATTAGCTTATCATAATATGTGATCATGACTAATCATAAAGATAAATGTGAGAGGAGACTTACTGCAGACTGGCTTGCAACTGACACAGTCAACCTCACATCCACCAGGGCAAGAACTGGGGCATACATGTTCTATGTTGTAACATTGGGGGTAGTACTTGTTCTTGCACTTGGCCTTCTTTGGTGAGGTTGAAGGAGGAGAAGAGGCAGTAGGTGGAGATGGTGTAGGAGTTGATGGAGGAGGAGAAGAAGTAGGTGGAGACGGCGTAGGAGGTGAAGGAGTAGGAGGAGGTGATTGGTAATGTGGTGCCAGCAGTGGTGGGGAAGGTGAAGGCGAGGGAGTAGGAGGTGTTGGAGTTATAGTTGGGGGTGTGGGGGTTGGTGGAGATGGTGGTGGAGTTGGTTTAGCTTGAGGAGGAGGAGGAGGAGAATAATATGTTGGTGGTGTAGGTGAAGGGGTGGGAGAAACAGGTGGAGGGCTTGACTCCCCAGAACAGATGGGCTTACAAGAGACACACTCCACTGAGCATTTATCAGGGCAAAACTTGGGGCACACATGCACAAGATTGTAACAATGCTTGTATTTTTTTATCAAACACCTTGCATTGCTTGGATTCTTAGCAATCCCTGGAGGAGTTTTTGCCTCTGCTGCTGCTATTAGCATCAGCAGGAGAATTGGAACAACAACTTGCATTTTGAAATGAGCCATTTGGAGCAAAACCCTTGAATTAGTTCTCAGTATATTCAAGGGAATTTGGTATGTTTGAGCGAGAAACCCAGTGTTTGAATGCCCCTATTTATAAGATCAAAAAGGACCCATCTGTTGCCTAATATTTCGGATCATAAACTTCATAAGTCACTTCCACATGGTATCTTAAAAAGTCAAATCACATTGACTCCCTCTGCACAACATTTGTTATAATCACTTGATGTTGCCTTGCAAATGGCATCACTTTGACATGAAGAAAAAAAGAAAACACTTCAAAAATTCTTCGCTTTTTCCATGGCTTTTCTTCTTTTAATGGCTACATAAATGGTATGGCTTACGCGACCAAATTGAGCTTTACAACCATGCAGTATGGTTTATGGGTTAAGGCACCAGAACAGTTCACACCACTAAAAGCCTACATCAGAATTATGATAACTAATAAGCATCTACATGCCCAGGTTCAGTTTTCACTTCCATTTTAAGCAATTATCTGACCGACCCTACAATAATTCAGTATTTGAATAATGATATGATGGTTTTGAAGTAATGAATTAATCAGGTTATTAGAAAAAGAAATGAGTTATTCAATTTGATATTATGTATGAGAATTTGTAAAATGGGTTCAAATATATGCATGGAAATTATAATAAGTTTATAGCTCCTCTCATGCATTAACCAATTGATCCTTACTTATCCATTATCCTTTAAACACGCAATTAATTTTTTTTTTTAAGTATAAGCGATAGTCTAAACTACAACCTACAAGGGAGGGGGCACAACCGAGATGCCATTAGGGTTCGAACCTGAGACCTCTGATCTACAAGTTAAGGTCATTTTCCACGGAGTTAGACCCCATTGAAAAGCAAACAATGTAATTGATCTGCTATATGTTCTGAGAAGATGGTCCATATTTAGGTAGTAACTAAAGACAGAATTGGTTTTTATTTCCAATTATACTTCCATCTATATAGCTAGTAAAGTTATTTCTTGCTAGTTAGATATATATATATATATATATATATATATATATAGTCTCATCTTGTGGGAAGTTGGAGAAGTGGCTGGCTTCCATGACTTCTCCATATAATCAATTCTTATGCCAACTTTTCTGCTTTTTTCTTTTAATCTAAGTTGAAAAAGAAGTTTTGTTGGACTCTGAATTATGAGCAGTACAATAAGGTCTGGCCAGATGCCATATACAAGGGGCACCTCTACATACTAACCACAGGATTAGGAGCAATATCCCTAACTTTTGTACTGCTTCTTTATTCCTTTCAACACCTCTGGAGACTATCTCTCTGCCCTTGCAAGTAAGTTTAAACAAGTTTCTATAAGCAAATATATATACAAACAGTATTTAAATTGATTCAAAGGAAAAATGTACCAATAATGATGTGTTCGTCATTAGCTTAAACATTAGGCTTGGCTTTACACCAGTTCAGATATAACTGCCAATATTTTGACTCAAATTAAGTTATGGCTTTGTACTTACAAGGATCATCTCATTTGATGAGGATGCATCTTGTTGGTGCTCCTTCAGCACCAAGCAACCTTAGAGGCAAGCAATGCACAGAATAGTTTCCGGGTTGGATGTCGTCAAGCTTTAGGCCTTCCACAGGAATGATTTCCTGAGCCATATATTACCACCATTTTTATTTAAAAAAGAGCTTAATCAAATTCCAATTACATTGTAAAGAAAGTCAGGAAATCATAGACAAACTTGATTTGAAAATCAAAATATATATATATATCTTGCCTCTGATTTTCTTTATAAAAAAAACACATAGAAGAAGCTTTATTCTATCAAATCGAGAATCTTACCCTGCCTCTGAGAAAGGCAACATGAGCTGGAATTGCTTCATCATAGGTGGCAATGGAAAAGTAATCAGTTCCTACATTCATAGTCAGGAAAATCAGTGCAAGCACAACCATTTGCTTTCAAAATGGTCAGAAACTTGATTATTTTATACCTCAACCGAATTACCCCCAAAAAAAATACAACAAATTAGTGTGTTACCAACAAGTTTGATGTCTGTGTTGTCTACTACCCATTTTGCTCCATCCTCCGTGAATCCCACAAAGCTCGAGTCGAATTGCTTTCGATGCATAAGCCGCCTATACAACGTAGTAATGATTATCAGTTTTATGATATGTCTTCTTTGCAGTGTTCATTTTGTTAATCAGATTCAGCATACTGATATAAAATCTTAATTACTCAATCTGAAATCCGAAACGCTTAATCCTTAAATCCAAACCGACGTCATTTTGGATATAAGCACAATTCAGCACAAAAGCAACTAACAAAGGATCATATATATATTTCAAGAAAATTACAAAGAAAATATAAGTAGACAATCTTTTTTTCATTTTGCGTTACCTGTCAGTATTCAGTGTCTTGAAAAGGACACGGCGTGTACCCTTGGGAATATTTAGGGACTTCATAACTTCAGCTGTAAAAGGTAGACATTAAGCATTTGAAAGGCTTCCAAAAAAATTATTAAAAAAATTACTTGAAAATTCAGATTAAAATTTGAACATCACCGAGTTAGAAATGCATACCAGTTATGTTGCTATCTCTTGGAACATCAACAACAACGGCAGGACCTATTGAAAAATAATTATACTGAGCATAAATCATCAACAGATAGACAAAATTACTTTATTGTCCTAAGTAGCATGCATAATTACCATTGAGGACATCCAGATCAAGCTGATCAACATCAAACCCTGCATCAAAGTAGTCATCAAAAACATGGCCAGGGGCATCAACATGGGTTCCAGTGTGGGCAGGCAGGTCGAACTCAGAGTTGTTGGTGAGAGAACCATTCTTCATGGTGAGCTGGAGCCACAGGAAGTGGCCGATCCCATTCTTGGAACCATAGAAAGGAATGTCCGGTGTGTACCTGTGGGTGATGTCAAAGATTCTCCCATTGCCGTACACTTCTCTCCGTACGGGTTTCGGGGTGTTGCCGCCGCCCCCGGAACTGTAGACGGAGGAGGAAGCGAGGAAGAAGCAAGAGAGTGTGAGCAAAATGGAAGGAAGAAGGGGTTGGTAGTGGTTCATGGTTTTGGGCATGGTGGAATGAGAGCAGAGAGGTTGTGTTAAAGGTTGAAGTAAGAAAGAGGTGGTGGTTTTTTTATGAGTAATAAATCAATAAAGTTAATGGTAATTAGTGATTCCAAATTGCAGTCAAATTAAAGTTAATGGGTGCCAGATTGTTTTTATCTTTATGAGTGCATTAACGCGTTTTCCTAGACTTGGGCAGCCTTTAGTTCAATTATTTAATCTTCTGTAATCAATTTGCAAGAAGTATCCATGACCAATCGTGAGAATTAGATATCACATGAGTTGTATATAGCAATTCTGCATTTGGTCCGACAATAGTACTAGAGACACTGAGTTTGTTACACCAAATTTTAGTTACAAACTTATGTGCCAATTTTCTTATTTGTTATGAATAAATAAGGTTCACAATCTCAGTGAGTTCATAATTATTTGTTGTGAACGATAGTACTGATAGTCAATTGATATCTTAACATTTGTATAATAAGTTGGTGTCTCAAGTATTGATATAGTGGATGTTACTATTTTCTCATTTAATACTCGTATTATACATGTACGTATGTATTTTTTAATAATACTTTCATTTTACGTACATATCTTAAAGACTCAATAAAATACAAGTTTTTTTAAAAAGCTAACGCACAATACATGTATTATACAAGTACATACATATTTTTCACGTTTAATACATGTGATTTATACAAATTTTAATATCAACAAAATTAACATATTATACCCGTGTTTTTAACATATTATTGAATATAAAAAAAATATATTTAAATATTTAAATATTATATAGTGGCTGAATTTTTTATTTGTATCTTACCAAAATTTTGCTGAATAAAACACGTACATATTTTATTCATATTTTTTCCGTTCAGTATTTTACTGACTACTAGGAGTGGATGAATGTGTTCATAATCTTGACTGATATATTGATGACCATCTTTATTATATAGAGTGGTATATTTCTCTTCATTTTGTTAAAAGAGATTTCAATTTTTTTTAAAATTACAAACAGAAAAAAATAATAATGATAAACAAAGAAACACACAATTAGTTGCTATTGTAGTCAAGCATGAAAGTAAATAGTCACGTTTAAAGCCCATTGCTAACGAAAATCTGTTTCATAACAATGTTTAAAGCTTAGCTTAGCCCACTGACCATTGGAAATCCCATCAACATCCTTGGTTGAGTGTCAGAATCTTGCAAACTTTTTTCTAACGTTCAAAGCGGCTTACGACACACTTCCCAGCAATCCATGTCTCTTTTTAAATTTGTTTGGTAAGTTTTTTAAATCTTATTTCTTCTTTTTAAATTGAAGTTGAATTTTTTTATTAATTTTATTCCACTTTAAAAAAAAAAAGGTTTTTGAAAGGGATCCACTGTCAATTTTTGAAAAAAAAAAAAAAAGTTTCTTTACACTTGCTCACCCAAACAACACCTAGTCTCTTTACACTTGCCCCTCACCACTTGCCCTTGCATTAGACATGCTCTTAGAATCACAGACACGAATATTAACATGCCTTTTAAAATGCTGTCCCTCTTTTTTACAAGTTAAGGTGGCCCTGGATTATAGACTGAAGATAGAGCCCTGAAATGGCGGCCCTTGAGTTTGAACACAAAAAAGTCTGGGTTTGTTCTGGGTCTGTTCTCTGCTAATGGTGAAGTGAAAACTTGACAAGAGCCCTTGTGCCATTTTATTTTCTTCTGCTCGCATAGCCACTGGGCATCCAAAGCAACCAAACTAAAATATTTAACAGCCCACCAGACCAGAAAAATGACATCCTAATAACTTTTTTTTTTTGGGTCTAATTCAAGTGAGTCCCAATAGCTTGATTAGTCTTTACATTATATGAAAGTCACAGTCAACACATAAAACTTACCTGGAAGAACCACCACACACACACATAATATAGTAATTAATCAGAAATTTCCCACCAGGTCACCATAATCTTCACATTTTTCTTTAATTATAAAGCGTAAAGATTGTTTGGTACCGACTACCCGATTATTTATTGATTTTTATACATTATCATGTACTACTATTAAATTGATATCCAGTACTAACCAATGAGTTTAGGTTATAAATATAGTAGTAACACAACCCATATATTCACTCACTCTTGTTATCAAAGTACTCAAACCATGAATAACAATACACCTCACAACCTCTTCCTTCGTCTCCTTCTTCTACATACGCTACTATCATGCACCCTGGTTTGCATGGCCACGTTAACGTCTGACATGGCCTACCCAACTGTCCCCGATAACTGCTTGTTGTCGGAGGAGGGTGTCCCTGTCCCGATTCGGAGAGAGAGGTGTATGATAACGGTCGAATATTCGACATCAGCCACAAGTACGTTCCCAACATGCCGAGTTTCGGTGTGGAGAATGGGCTCGGCGAGTTCCT